TGACTCAGCTTCTGGTGTCACAGTGTACTTCCTGTTCCCCCTCCCTATTCCGTTACATGGGAGCCGGGATAGCTCAGCCGGTATAGCGACTGATTATGGACTCGACAACCGATGGGTCGGAGTTCGAGTCCCGGTGGGGTCAAAATTTTTTCTTCTCCACGTCATCCAGACCGGCTCTGAGATCCACCCCGTCTCCTATATAATGGGTACCGGGGGTCCTCACCCCGGGTGTAAAGCGGCAGAGACGTGAAGCTGACCACACACCTCCAACTAGAGCCTAGGTCAATAAAATGTGGATCTATACATCCACTCCCCCATACGCCATCATGATGTAGTGCTTAATTAGTTAAACACTGAACAACTTTACCGTTTACTCCGTTTCTTAATCACCATTTAAATCTAAGCTATCGTAGTAAATGCTTAACTAATGCTTTCTAGAGGCCGTAATCTTTCTGGAAACCGTCTGATTGCACCCGTAAACTTTTCGAAAGAAGGAAGACACACACACACACATGTCCGTGCATTACGTGCAGCACACCTGAGGTTCAACCCGGGCGGGTGATTACAGGCAAACATTTTTCTAACAAAAGTGACGCCTATAACATTAACCAGATAATGAACATAGCAATCTATACTCCTCTCCAGCCCAGCCTACCACGAGTTTTATCTTAGGTTTAATTATTCTGCTCAGACCTTTGTACTCAAATGCCTACACTTGCTGTTCATTTCTAAAAATAAGAGTCCAAGTTTATTACACACACGGAACAAGTAGACCTAACTAATTCACACGGGTACATGTACAGCATATGGCCTCGGTTGAATGGTGCATAGGTCTTTACATATGCCAACGGAGCTTAATGTAGCTTAAATTTCTTTCCTTGGCACTACAGCCCCAGTGGGCCTAGGCCTACCTCCATGAACTTCTCCGGTAGCTTACATTATAAGCCATTATTCTTTTACAAATACGTGGGCTCTGCTTCTGGATATGGGTCTGAAGAATTCGCTAGATTTTGATGTCGTAAAATCTGGGATATTATTACATACATTTTAAATAACGTGCTGCCTCCTTCTTCCAACCCTGAAGATGGAGGTAGAATGCTTCTCCGAAACGTTGCTACCTATCTACGCCCTACAAGTCGTCAGAAGTAGAGGACACTTACGTTTAAAATCGCCGCGGATATGGATGTGTATGCTGCACACATGTACCGGCAAATTCGAAGTGAAGTGAGTATCAAAAACTTTTAGCGATGGTAGATTAATACAATTATTGGCTTTTGTGGACATTATGCATGTCCTGATTCTGGTTCGGGGGTAGCGCTGTCGTCTGGGCCCAACTGAGTAAGCTTCTCACCTGTTGGTGGACACAGAGTTCAGTCCCGAAACGTTGGTTTGTCTGATGTCACCTCAAATTTCGCAATGTCGCAATGGTCGTAATTGTAGATTTAGAATAAATCATATATAGCGTATAGGTGTGTTAATAACCTATCTCTATATCAAATTTAAAATTCATAGTACTAATGATTCATTACTGGTTACTGCCTTCAAACCGAAAGCTTAAAAATATTCGTATGGGCGCCATGTTCTTATTGCATATTCAACAAAATACACGTACGTTCTCAGCAAAAGTCTCATATTTGGGCCCTGTATTAAGTGGCGATCTCACTTCACAATTTCGCTCATTCGCCGTGTTATCCTGGTTGTAGGCGACTAGTAAATATGGCGTTGGAATGGCCTCCAATGGATCGGTTCTCATATCACATTTCGTTGAAACAGTGAACTGGCTCGAACTCTGGGCAGGGCGAGACAAACTCAAAGACGTAGACACACAGCGCAGTGGTCTCTACACACTGTTTCTATAGTAGAGTACAACGCGAAAGTAATTTCAATAAACCGCCATAGTTTTCGAGGTCTACTGCCACAGACAGTGAAATAAATCTACGTTAAGCGACGATAAATCGTTTCCACCCCAGAACATCGGGCGGCAGCCACAATGATGGTAAGGGGTTGAAATGTATGCCTGAAATGTACAAGTAGCCATCGGCGGCATGATGCATATGCTAAGTTTCATGAGAATCCGTCAGCCTCTTGCAATAGTAGTAGGGACAAACACACGCACAGACGCCATGATACCGTGCGCATAATGGGGCAATGGGCCAAACGCTAAGTTCCAGCTATTTTTAACTTACGCTAAGTCTGTGAACTGCATTGTTTATTAATTTTCGAGAGAAGTTTGCTTGGGTTTCCTTTTTTTTTTTCTTTTTCTTTTTTTTTCTTTTTGTGACTAAGAATATGAAATTTAGAGTGATGTCATGGCTGTTGAAGTTTCATAGGATTATTAACAATTGCTAAAGTTAGTTCGTAGAAAACAAAGTAGGGGTTAGTAAACAAACCTCCCGCTGGTTCACACATGAAACGGCGTATTGCTTCGGATTGAAGCACACGAAAACAGAGCGTAGACTTTACTCGTATTAGGAATTCACTGTGTTCGTACTAATTCTGACTTTGGGACGGGTCAGTTCCGCGGAAGGCAACCAACTAAACTACAGTTTCAGAAAATCTGAATGCAAGAAGTCAACGAAACCCTAGATTCCGGGTGTCACGTATGAGAACTAGGCTCCTTCAAATAGGCTTTCTTCAACGCGTTTGGTGACGACAGCAATTAATAATTGTCATGTCTATTGAACCAAATGAGGAGCTTCATAAATTGTAATCTTCTCCAAGTAAAATTAGAGTGATCAAGTCAGAGAGAATGAGGTTGGCAGGGAATGTAGCACGAATGGGGGAGACGAGGAATGCATAGAGGATATCGGTGGGAAAGCCAGAAGGAAAGAGTCCAATGGGAAGATCAAGGCGTGGGTGAGTAGACAATATTAAAATGGATCTTAGAGAGATAGGACGGGATGGTAGGATTGGATTCATCTGGCTCAGGATAGGGACAAGTGGAGGGCTCTTACGAACACGGTAATGAACCTTCGGGTTCCATAAAATGCTGGGAAATTCTTGAGAAGCTGCAGAATTGGCGGTTCCTCCAGAAGGACTCAGTTCCGTGAGTCAGTGGGTCAGTAAGTAAATAAGTAAGATATACCCACTATAATAATATTTTGGACGCGACGTAAAAGTTTTTCACCCTCGCCATATTTGTAACTGCTAGCAAATAAACGCCATGGATAAGATGGGTTGGTCGGGGTAAGCAGCACGTATGAGGGAAATAAAAATTGAATGTAAAATGTAAAACATAAAGGGATAAAGACTATTTGAGGAGACCTATGTGAAAGGATTACATTAATATGGATCGTAAATAAATAGGATGTAGGATCTGAACTCGATTCATTTGGCTCTGCATAGGATCCATCTAGGAGCTCTTATAAATAAAGTAATTACTCTTCTAGTTTCATAAACGTATCGGAAATTCTTAAAGCGCTGAGTGACTACAGGCCTCTCAGGCAGACACCCTGCTCAAGTGAGTTCGTTGCTAAGTCACGTCTGTATGACGATTGTAGAAATGTCAGTGATTTACTTCCGGGCAGAATTTCGCATGTCTAGCAGTCATAGCTTCATGACGTCCAAATTTTAAATGCTTATCAATCTACAAAAGGCGTGGCCTTCAAATTCTACGAATTCTTCGAATTATCCGAATTTTTCCATCACACAAATTATCAAGAGCTTATGTCTCCCCCACTACACACTTTCACACAAGACCTGTGAGTTTGATTACCTACAGCAAGAAACCGAAAAGTAGGAACATTAACGGAGGCACGAAAAATTGCATAATGGTGATTTGCGTAATTTTCACTCATTCAGTAGCATTCTGATGATGAAAATGATGATTATATTGGAAGAGTACGTAGTCTGCACACAGGAGATATCATAAATGCTAACAAAGTTCTGGTTGGGAAACCTGAATGGAGGATACCACTTTGATGACGTAGGCACAGATCGGAAGCCGGTGGATGTCCAAGAAATCGGGTATGAGAAAAATTATATGTTGCTAATTGGTCCAAGATTGTGTCCAATTGCGACGTCTTGTCACCGTGATAATGAACGTTCGAGTTTCATAAAAGACGAGAAAATTCTTAACAACCGCGAGACTACAATCTCCTCAAGATGAACTCTGTCCCTGGAATAAGTTAACAGTGCAAATTTGCAAAGATTGATTGCCCTGTAGTGGCCTGGTATTCATACATAGCTGCAACAATTCTGCCATTCGGACCTAAAATGATTAATGATCGTGTTTTTTTAAGTACTGTCCGAGTGACGATACATATGATAAAATTAAAAACACCCCAAATGGTACGTAGGATAATAACACGCTACTCTGTCGTACAGCGTAGAACAAACACTTTGCGAAGCAGCTGACAACACGTGAAGGCGACCGAAATGGTTGCAACTTATAAAGCTTCATATTTCAATTTTTGTGCATATTACAGTATACACAACTATTGCACACAATAATAATACAAAACAAACAAAATTCCGCGATTTTAGTCCGCAAGCGAACTATACCGACCGAGCGACCGCCGCATGTCGGCGAAGTTAATGCCGACTATTGCAGATAGAGGTTGTCGCGTGGTCAGGGCAACGAATCTCCACGGCCGTTAATTTCGGTTTTCTAGACCGGAACCGCTATTTCCTTGAAATAGCTCAATTATCCCCACGAGGCTTAGTTGACCCCGTTGCAGACACACTGCTTCTCAGGAAAAACCTCGTAGCGCCGGGAATCGAACCCGGACCTCTGAATCTGTAGCCAGAAACTCTGACCACTAGACCACAGAGGCGGTTAATAATAATAATACAAATGCTATGAGAATTTAATTCTAATATTCCTCTCTCTTAAAGAACTCTCATTTGATGGAGAGAGCCCAAGCTGTTTTGGAGAAGGAACGAACACAGTAAAACGGTTTTCAGCTGCCCTGCCCTATCTGCAAATTCAACTTTTCATACGGTACCAATAGCGAGCACTCCTATGAACACTGCAACGGCACAGCATGCAATTTACTCACCTGTGGTGTCCAGGTAGACGTGACTGAGGAAGTAGCACGGCTCTGGCTCTTGGAGCGCGCCCTCCATATTTTCTTTGCAACTCGACTCCCATGATGCACCACGCTGGATGATGATTTAGACTTCTGCATGGCTCCTCCGATAGGTGTAGCTGTAGAAGCAGAAGACCGAGTCATTGCAGTGTTTTCTTCGTTGCTTTGCTGTTGTTGCTGGTGGTGTTGCAAACCGTGTAGAAGGTTTGTCAGGAAGGTCTGGCCGGTTGAGAGGATACTGGAATGGGTTTGCTGAGGAATCGGTTTCCCACCAATGTTCATTGGTGGTGGTGAGAGAAGTGCGTCGTCAGAAATTCCAGCCCCCTCCAAGCTACTCCTAGAACTTGTGATTCTACTGCCTGAAAAATCATCTCCTCCCGGTGACATCTCCCGGTCCGAAAAGACGTCCTCAACCTTCAACTCTTTCAACACTACTATCCAGCTCTCGTCAGGCTGACAGCCCTTATTGAGCCCGTCGTCATCACCTGGCATGGTGAGCTCTCCTTTTGGCTTGATGTTCCTGAGATTGCGGTCGTAATTGACGCGTTTAAAGCGGTCCACTTTATCGGCGTCCAAGCTTTTCTTGCGTGCCATCCGCAGGTAGCGCTTAATAGTGTCGCTCACGCTTGGAGATACATCATCGTTATCAACACTGCTCCTCCGACGACCTGCTCCGCTCGCATTCATTTCCTCCTTCTCTTCCTGAACAGCAGCTGCCCGGGCCTTCTTCAGCTCGTCTTCTATCGCCACAAGGACACTTGCAGGTATTGGCTCCGTTTGTATTCCCCTGTCGACAGATACTGTTTCATACTCGTCCTCAATCTCTATCAAAGGTGGGGGTGAAAGGGGTGACATTTCTCTTTGGTCCCTCGATGGAGACTTTCCCAGGCGCTTCCAACTTGATGTTCCCATACTGTCTTTATAATCATATATCTCGCTCTTGTATATTTCGTCACCATCCCTCCTAGATCTCAATGTAGATGCTGTCTGTTCCGACGACGTCCAATGATGTGAAAACCCTGATCCATCAAGTCCCATGCCCCCGCGCATGGCTTTCAAGCTTCTAGTCTGCCGTAAGCCAAAGTAGAGCTTCTCTAGAAGTTTCCTATCTGTCAAGAGGTCAGTGATAACTTTCTGGCGACAAGTGGATTTACTATAGTAGCGTCGAAGTGTGTCCAGTGTCATTCTCTCTTGTGTGTCTGACTCGAAAGAGACTCTTGATGGCGAAGGGGTTGGAGAGAGTGGCCTTTGAGTCGTGGTTCGTATCGTCCGAGTACGCACCGTCATTCTCTCTTGCGTTGCGGCCAGTTTGTCATATTGTTCTTCAAGAATGTTGCTGGTTGAGAGATACTTTCTGAGTTGATCTACTAGTCTCTGATAGTCTATATCAATTACTTCATCGCCCGTTGAAAGGGTATCAGCAGATTTCTCTTGCAGATTTAAGTACCTGGATAATGTCTCCATCAATTCCCTTTCGGTTTCTTCATCCTCATTGTCCGGACACGTTACAGTAGTTTCTGGAACCCCAAGGAGAAGACCTTGTCGCCCGGAAGAATGTCCCTGACTGTGGGCTGTGTCAGAGATGGATGATGACACCCCATACAGGAATTCTTCTTTCAGTTTCTTCAGGTCTAACCTCCTACCTGATGCCGATGAATGTGAGGTGTCTAACTCATCGACAGAAGTAGCCTTTTCCCTGCAGCTACCACCCTTCTTCCTGCGATTCTTCCTGTGATGAGACCTGAATCCCAATGCTCCAGGGTAGGAACTTTTTCTCCACAGCAGGAACTTTGGTTCGCGGTGACATACTTCCTGGAAATACGCCTCTATCTTTGGAATATCTTGAGGTCGGTTTTGTACACCCTCGGGAATTAGGCGCCGGCCTGCATCAGCCATGTAACGCCATGTTTTGCGAGTGAGCAGCCAACGTTCTCGGGTAGGTCGCTTTCTTTTCTGATCCCTTGAGCTGGACTCTCTTGACGATCCTGCTGGGGTTTCTACGTGCTTCGCCCTTCCCATGTCACGTTGAGATTCAGCGTCACCACTTAACTCGACGAAATCTTCTGTGCTACGAGCCTGAGAACTTCTATACGCTCGAACTTTCTTACTTCGACGATCGCCCATTTTTGCAGTGCTTGGAGATCAAGGACTGTTTAGGTGGGCAGGGTTTGGACTTAGGGAATGGGGCTGTGTTACAGGGAGAAGGGAATGATGTCTGTAAAGCAGGTGATGGAAGTCTGTCATCAAGATCGAAAATTTCGATGTGAATATGACTTTATATTTCAAATTCTAAACTCGGCTTGCCGTAGATTTATATATTATATACAGCTGATGATCGTGTAACTTAAGGAAGCTATTTGCTTCAGTTTAAGTCTATTTTAGTTGCACTTTCAAACAGACCGATATAGGGTTGCAAGGAATTTATTTTAGAGCACCAACGAGGTCATCCACAGTTCTTCGACTGCAGATTGTTAATCCGACACTAAATCTGCAAACTTTACGGCTTGTCTGACGACCTGAACAAGGTTTACGACGGAGCGGTTTAACTTAATGTTTTATTGGTACGTTTTCCTTTTATAATAAATCGCAACAATACTCGACATTTTCGAAATGTTCCAAAGAAATGAAGATGTGCTTCTGGGAGATATTTGAAAATGACCGTATAAGAATACCAGAACAAAATATGCTTCATTTAAAATATGTCATGTTGTTGCACTTTAAATTCTGTCTGTCCTTAAACACTTAATTATAACGTGCCCCCAGTTGTCCAATAGCAGCACTTTTTCGCAATATACAACATCCGTCCGTCCGTATTGTGCCGAGAAACAAAAAGTCTTATACAGTGAAGGATCTTTGCTGATCACATTTAGTCTTCTTGTTTGCCTCTTTGATTCCACACTTTTTCTGTCTACACAAACAATAGAAACGTCCAAGTGAATTATTGAGAAACTTACTCAGAAGTTTGTTTAATCTCCACTAATAATTCCGTGCTATTTAAATAAAATGTTGAAGATATGATGACGTTCTTGGCAGATCAGATACACGCTTTGACTGTAGCCCAGATTAGGTCAACAAATACTTCAACATTCTGGCGTTCCGTAACACGCTACCACTCTCTTTAAAAACTGAAACTTGATGATTTTAAAATACTATTGACTAAAGCAGAGGTATATAGCATATGAAAATCAATTGTTTAAAGTGTCTATGCTACTTATATATGTTTATTCTCCCGTGTGGTGACGTGTAGATTGCATAAACTCGCACGACTTATCGGAATTTCACAACTTCGGTCAACGCTGGAACGCTTCCCATTACTTGGCACCGTTCCGCGAAGTCTACAAGCGGCCGCTCCTCGTCAGGCCGCCGTCTCTTTTAAGCACATTGTTACTCTATGCACCATCCCCATATTCATTTTATCCAAGTTATATTTAAAGGAAATGGCGCGATAAATTTACTGACTCTCATCCGATACGTGCATGTCGAAATGTAGTTATTTTTTGCACTATAAGAAAACGTTTCTCTTTCCTTGTTTTAATGATGAAAATTTTCATAATTTTGAGTTCCTGGCATGTGCTTCATTATGAACCCTCTTTTTTTTTTTTTTTTGGCAATCAGAGTCTTGTGCTTCTGTTTCCCCCTCTCTCTAACTTGCTACACTTTTGTTTCAAGTTTTCAAAAAAAAAATAATAATAATGTGATATAACGAAGAATGTTTATAAGTGAAAAGTATACAGTTCTTACATTCAAACGTTATAAATGCTTTCAATGTATAGAGAATGAATCTGTCTATAATCAGACAGAAGGCTGGCAATTTAAATGCCCCTTACACTATGGAATGTTTGTACAAATATTCCTTGTACAAATAACCAATATTAAATTTGTATGTTAAATATAACGCCGAATTAAACACAAAATTCTTGTAAATGACGCATCTGTGCCATTTTCTAAGTCTTTCGGTTTGTCCTATGGAGTATGAAGTGCTTCGAAATGTATCTTTAGGCAACTATTACAATAAACTAAAGTAATCCAGTGTATCAGTTTGTGCATGAATGGAATAGATTTCCTTCTGCAATTTCTTTAATTTTACGTCCTTGAGAGCCCAAACAGCTTTACACACAATGAAAATCAAACGTTTTATAAATAATATAGGAATACGGGTAGTTATGAGTGGATTAAGTTACCGATACATTATTAAATTTAGTTGTAAACACGTCTGCGTGCCAAGTTTGTCATGAATTTCATATGCAATTCCGCGCTAAACGTAGCTCCTTGCCTGCCCAAAGAAGAACTCGTGTAATAGTTCAGCACAAACTTGTGTGGAAAACAACATTAACAGCAGTAGCACACACGGGGCACTGTGCAACAACACTCTTCACGAATACACAACAGAAGTCGATTGTGAAAATAGATATTAAAAATTTCACTTCAGATTTACAGAAGAAATCTGCTAAACCACTACTTCACGGAAGTGTCTTGAAGATGAAGACATCGCACACACAGACACACTCGAACGCGGGGCCTCTCGAGGGCTGACCACTGATCGGGCTTTCTCTCTGATCGCTACTCTGAATTCTGACCGAAAAAAAAAACAAGATAGGGAGAGGGGATCGTAATGTTTGTTAGTTTGTTAGTTAACGCGCGATGCGCTGTTCCCTCTCTCTCTGTCGTCCCCGTGGTGGAGCAAAAATATCCCTCGTTCGAGATATTGGCAAGGAGCTCAGTACCAGGGCTGCACAAATGCTTCTCACAGGCAGGTGAGTCTGGTGAGCGGAAGCACACACCTCTAACGCAGATGTGAGTACAACTGATTTACGTTGCTGTATCAACTTGCAAAGCTACATGCGCTACATCGTCACACACAGAGATTTCGGATTGAAGTACTCTATTTAACACTAACATACCAACACAAGATAGCTTAGTATAACCACGTCTGGAATAATTCGTATCATTTAATGATTCTGTATTCACTTGTAGTGTTACAGGAAAAATGTCTGCACAGAACTGTGTTTCGTAACAACGATATATCGTTTTCATTGTCACATTGGTTCCCAGTAATTTCTTGCAGATTTATGGGTAAAATACAGCGGTTTTCTGAATATAGGTTAGCTCACTATTCTCACGTTGAACAGTGTAAAACATAGTCTACAAAGTTACTTACCAGTATCAGATCATAAGACATGCAATTATAATAAAATAATGGTTTTGGGCCCCCCAAAAGTGTCTCCACCTTGTCGTGGTGGTGGGGCTTGAGTGACTCTGTGACCTGGAGAGCTATGCCGACGGTAGTTTAACTATCAGTATGATCACCCATTCAGGAAAGGTCAAAGGGTACAGTCCAGACTAAGAGAGATACCCTGGTCCCCCAGGTTGGGGGTTGGGCATGAGGATAACAACCTCATCCTGTAAAAAGAATTTTGTTCAGAAAACTAACAACCAGCCTCGAGTCATCATGGGTGGGTCCATTCCTATGGCAGCACGCACTGGTTTTGGAGACCGGATGTAGAGGAGACCAAGGCTCAATCAGACCTGTAGCGCCGAGTGGTAGGTAAGTAGGTAGGTAGGTAGGTAGGCAGGCAGGTAGGTAGGTAGGTAATGGTTTTGTGTAGCTCCGTGTACTGACTTTAAAGACCAAAATATCGAATACTGAGAAAATAAAAAAAAAACATACAGGTTTCAAAAAGATTTTCTAAAGAAACATTTTTCATTAAAATAAATGCAGCAGACGAAGGAAACACTACTGCTGGCCGACCCATCTAGCGGCAGAATTAGTGCTACCTGCGACCATCGCGTGCTGGTTTCTATGGGCACACTACGTTACAATTCATTCTTGAAGCAGTATGACTAAATTTCGTGACGTCACACTGAACATTTGCACTAAAAATTTACAAACGAGGGCGTTTGAAATAACGAGGGGTGATGGACACATCCGTACATCTGGCATCGAGGACTCTGCATTTGTAAGGGAACCAGTTCATATAATTCGCCCGGTCACACCACTAAATGCTGCAAAGGCCAGAGAGGGGGAGTACATCCAATACAGACTGTTAAGTGACTAAGAGTATCAGAATTTGTAAAACAGCAATTTTTCCAACTCAGCTAAAATACAGGATCTATAAGAAATTTAACTAAAGCTTTTTGATCGGTGTGAATTGGCATTCTGAACTGCTGCTTCAAAAAGGCACTATTTCGAAAACCATGTTCCAATTTAAGATGTATATCTTCGGGAACATAACGGCATCTACTCCGCTGAAAGTCAACCGACGTTTCGGAAGAACATACCGCCTTCTTCTTCTGAAGGTGAAAGTGGGATATGTTTTTGTTTTCTGAGGCTGTGTATGTGGAAACGTTCCCATGTGTTTAATAAGAGGCCCTTTCTTCAATGTGAAGTTAGGCCCATTGTTTCTTTTATTTTGTGACGTGTGCTGTGTATCTAGTGTATGTTGTGCAGATTTAGAGTCTGGTTTGTTAGTTCTTACTGCCTGGAAATGCCTGTCTGTCCTATGTATTTAAATTGACAACCATTTCACTTCAGTTGGTACGTTCCACTTTTATTAAGATTGACAGTATCGAGTTTTTGGGTTTCTGATATCGTATTTATGGTTTTGAAGGATGTTCCTATGTTCGTGTTTAAATAGACTTGTGATTATCCCTGTTTCTTTGCCAATGTATATAAAGGTGGCCCATTTTTGTTTGCTTTTTGATGGTGTGTTCATATCTACGTGGTTTAATTTGTGTTTGCTTTCGTGCATGCGTGTAGGGCAGTAGTTATGTAATATTGTTTTTATGTGCTGTAGTTCGTGGTTTCCATTTGCCTCTATGATAGCATATGTGTTCATGCGGTTTATGAGGTAATGTTCTTGTGGGTGGCAATAATCGTTGTGTAGCTCCTGGTTTCCTAAATATGTTGAATGTTAGTGTGTTGTGTAAATTTGTGATCGTTAGGTCTAGGTAATTTAATTTGTTCTGCGTTTCCTTCTCAATAGTGAATTGGATGTTAGGGCGTATGGAGTTCAATTCTGTTAAGGTGTTCTCGATGTTGGTGATATCTTTATTGCATACAATTAGCATATTAGCGACGTAGTTGGAATAATAGATTCCGTGGTGTTTTTGGGTATGTTCGGCCCCGATTACTGATGTTGGGGCCTCCATTGCTAGTCCGTCCTCTTGTTCAACTGGAAGTTGTTGTGATTTACGTATGTGTTTATTAACGTCATTAGTTCTTTATTTGTTAGTGTGGTGTGTTGTCCTTGTTGTGTATGAACTTTCTGATTATGTCGGTGAGTTGTCTTTTGGGGATATTTGTGTACATATTCGTAATGTCGGAGGAGCTGAATATGAGGCTTAATGAATTGTGTATGTTAAATGCATTTGATAGTTATATTATGTTTTTAGTGTCCCACTAATTACAATTATACTTTGTTAATTCTCTTGTTGTGTTTCCAACGTATCTAACCATTATAGGCTCCTGATATTCTAGGCTACAAATTTCATGTGCATTTTCCGCTGCTTAGGTCGTCCCAAAGAATGTGATTTATTTTGCTCTGAGGAGTTGTTAACACCTCCCCTAACAACAGAACAGGAGGGCCGCCCCTTGTCGGCTGTCTTTAACTGCGTATTTAATATATTCGCAGCTCCTCTCCATATCTGAAAGCCATCTACTACCTGAGAACGTGCCATGCGACGTGTCTCTCTTATTCCTAACGCAATCGAACACATACACATAGCACTTCTAGCCACGCCACGAAACTTCCTTCTACACTGTGCATTCCCAATCCTGTCTTGTCCGATGTATCTCCGTCAGTAACCGTGTTCTCCTGTTCTATGTTCATCTCTCGATATTTCGATACATATTTCATTTCGGTTGTCGTTGCATTTCTGAATGTCTGGAGGTAAAGAAAATGCCGGGGAACTTTCCCCACTGGGGTTACAAAGCGTTAAAACCAATACAACTTATTCAAGGAGTAGTGCCCTTTGTAACATTACATGCCTAGTCGCTCCGTAAAGAGAAAGTAGCCCTTCAAAGAGGTGAAATTCTGTAACACATCAGAAGCTTCCTTATACTCCCTCTGTTTCTCCACAATTCGTTGTTTGGGATGAACGCCGAAATTGCAGGCGGACAGGACTGAAATTGATATGCTTGCATATCTCCTTAGGTACAAGTTCTCCGTACATGTGCCCAGGGCTCGATTACAGAGAATTCGAAAAGCGAACGTTCCTGAAACTGATTTATTCTTTCAGGAACAAGGTATGATTACAATTTTCCCAGAATTCTGTTACCTATTTAGAGACCAGTATCATGAATTTCAGCTGTATATGTATGTATTATGGAATGAACGTTGATGAATTTGCGTATAAAATGTCATCAAAAGATGGAGTACAGTAATGGCACATGATCTGAAGGAATCATGAAATTCATGGGCCATCCGAACGAGGACACTGAAAATCATGGCGATTACATGGAAGAACGTGTTAATTATTTTGACAAATTCGTGTTAAATCGAAACTGAGGTAAGGTTCAGATTTAATGTGTTTTTTCTTTCTGGGTCCGTCGTACAAATTCTGAAGCCATGATTTCTTCCTTCCATATCATTGCAATTCATCGTTAATATGTAAACTGACGCTACTGTAACGAAGAGACTTGTATTCAGGTAAGAGTTTCTCACGTCATCAGGTTTACCTGCTATCACAATTGAGATTTTTCTTGGTGTTTCTCCGACTTTGAGGTCTAATTTCAAGGTAGCTATTTCAAAAAGGCGACAGAAACCTTATTACACATAGTCAGCAACGGCCTTCCTCCTATCTCATTCAACGCTACACCGTATAACTTGCACAGAAAATTTACGAATCAATGAGAAAATTAGAAAACAGCCCCTGTAACACACAGACATAATCTACGGTCAAAGTCATGCTTACGAGTGCAGCATTCTCGAGCAGTATTCGGGAGCCCTGGTTTCGAGTCTCGGTCACAATATCGGCAACTATTAATGTACATATTCACATATTTCTTCAGTCCCTACAGCGAAATTGTGGAACAGTATTTCAAAACTGGTAACAGTCGATTCCTTTCACACCTTTCCTATTCATCTTTCACGGTCTCTAAGTTCGAGGAAAAGTCTCCGGATATGCTGAGAGCCAACGGCACATGAACCACGGAGCTGGAAAACGCAGTTAAATAAACAGAGAAGAAATGTGTGGTCCGCTTCTAAGGAAGAGAGTTGAGTTCTGCTAATAGATTTGCTTACAGTGCTACATGTGTTTACGGTTCAAATTAGCCCTGTTAATCAGAATGTCAAGTCCCGGATGGGCGCAGCGTCTCTGTGTGACTTAGTCTCTCTGCTTCTTCAGGCACTGGCGTACGCTTCCAGGAGGAACCCGATGATGACGCAAGAAACGTTCATTTGTACGTTTTTATTTTTGTGCGTATGGCTGTACCAACTACGGATCTCCCTTCTGTGCCCAGATGACATTGTTTCCAAGTTAGATTGTCAAATTTAGATTGTAAATTGTG